CACCCTGGTTCATTGTCTTCAATGGAAGCCCTGCCCTTGAAGCTAGTAAATAAACTGGGGTGCAGCTGCACTTTACCCCAAAATTCACTGAGTATGCTTTGCATACACAACAACCCCCTGGTCACTTTAAATAATTAGTATGTCAGTCTTCCTAGTAGAATTTATAAGGAATCCCAAATGGTAAATTTTAAGATAGAAACTTAAATTTGGGATACCTTTCTCTCTCCCTTTTCAAATATTCCTCGTAAAAGGAATGAGGGGTGCCAGGCAGTGACTTTGGGGTCGGAGGAGCCTGGGGTTAGAGCCATCCTGCTCTACCACTCACTAGCTGTTTGAGTCAAGTAAGTTTACTTAATTTCTCATAGCCTCAATTTTCTCTCCTATAAGTGAGAATAAAGTCATCAACATTGTAAGGGTATTCAAATACAAGCTGATATTTCAGCCTTGTTCTTACAGAGGGTTCTGAGAAAACCCAGTGGTTACTATCAAGAAATAAATTATAAATAAGATGTAAATTATACCCCCAGCCATTTAAGTCTATGTGAGATCAAATAGAAAACAGCTAATTTTCTTGATTAAATTCCACGGAAATGAATGATGATGTACAATAAAAATGGAAAATAAAGGTATTCTAACATGACAAATATAGACCCTGCACGTCTCTAGAGCTGCTAGAAAGAATTCAGAAGTTTTGGTGGTCAGTTCAGCAGAGCCTGTGAAAGGGGGTTGTCAAATACGCCTTCTAATCTTACAAAAAGTATAGTTCAGTTTTTGGGGTGCCACCGACCAAGGAGTGTTGCCTCCTGGAGTTGTTCTAATCCCTGGTGTCTGTCTTGGCAGACCGTCACCCTGACTGCCTCCCAGGAGAGCAGCAGTGTGTGTGGCAAGCATGTGCTGCCTGGAGTAAAATTAAGAGCCATTGACTAGTTCTCACTTGACAGGCGTATGTAAATTCCCTTGAATGCAAGAGGATTGAAGAACCTGGTATAGTTTGATAGTAATAAAACTTTCTCAGCTAATTACTACGAAGCTGAATTAAAAATCACAGCCCAGGTCCTAAAAGTAGCTTTGCTGCAACTAAACTACATTTTCTGAGGAGCATTCAGAGATCCAACGATTCTGTCAATAGTCAGATGGCTCTCACTGAGTCACACTCCTGGTCTCCTGGTGTGTGATATCAAGACCCAGACGGTCTTCAGCTGGCACAGCATGAAGGGAGGAGGGCATAACGGGGTGCTAGCCTCCACTCTGTGTGAAATCAACTCTGAATCAAATCCAAGATGCTACACTATCCTCAGCACCGAGACCTAAGACCACACATTGCTTCTCTGAGTCAAGCTCAAAGTGTCCAGGTGTGTTTCTAACTAAGGATCCTTGGGTCGTACCTACAAATGGATTTTTAATGAGTTATCAGTAAGTGTGAGCTTAAGACTGTGAAAAATGTGATCTCTACAAAGAAGCTTATATTTTATTTTCAAGATCCTGTCATGGGGAATATTAATTATCACTACAAAGAGCTTTGTTAATAATCACACAATAAACTCTTTCCTTTTTCAGTCTATTTCTGTTCCTATTTATAAGCATTTTACAGGTTTTTATTCACCTTTTCCCCATTGTTTTCTTAACCAGCCTAATCATTTTGAACAAAATCCAGACCCCTGTTATTTTTACCTCTAAGATTTTATAAAATCAACCAGTCTTTGTATATTCCTAGGTTGTAGAACTTTTCACGTTAATGCAGTATTGGTGCACTATCCCTTAAAGGACAGAGAAAGACTAAATAGTTAATATCTGCAAAATCTTTTCAAAGTATGTGGTAGACAGCAGCAACGTGAGTAGCTTTGCCACTTTTATGTAGAAAGAAACCATTTTATCACTTTCCCGGATTGCTCAAAGGACCTGGGTTAGGGACATAAATTTCTCTTTTTTATCTCTACCAGTAGCAAGATAAACAGGATATAGTTATTCTAAAAGACTTTCAACTAATAGCTAATTCCAAAAACCACTTTAATTGCAGTATGTGGGTTAATAAACTTTTAGCGAATGAAAGTATGAGGTGTAAAGGAAGAAAGTATTAGGAAATTAAAAGAAGTGTATTCAAATTTATATTCACATTTGGTTTCCGTTTTTTGCTATCACTGGCATTTTATTAAGTGGAAAGAAATTTATAACAACATTTGACATTAATCATTCCAAATGAGTCGTGAGAAGACATGGGGATGGACGTGTTTTACTGGACCCATCAGGGCAACAAACTAAGACCAAAGACAAGATGAAAAATAAAAGCCTATGTCTATTCACTCACCCAACGTATATTTACGGAAACCCTACTCTGTGTAAAATTCTCAGTAAAGTACGACGGGTAATAAAACATGTTTAAGACAAAGCTTGTCCTCAAGGTGCTTATGAGAAATTATCAATAAATCAGGAAAAATGTTGGTTGACCAGTATGAAGAGAATGTTCTTATAAGAAAGACAAACCTGATACCACATTCATACTTTAAATAAAGATTAGAGGAAAGTACACAATAACCTCTGAAGAGTAGAATTATGGAGGCCTTTCAGCTTTCTATACTTTTTATATGGTTTGGAATTTTTACAAGCATATATTATTTTTGTAATCAGGAAAAAATAAAAATGTCTATGAATAAACACTGCAAGAAAACAAGTGAATATACAATATTTGTTGATTTAGGTTGTTTGTGGCTTATTGGTAGATTTCTGTCTTATAGTTATTTTGTTGTTCTGAAAGAATTTTAATGCAGATTTAATTCAACAGAATAAGAAGTGTATAGAAAATCTGAGTTCTTTCATTTGAATAATCTGCTTTATTATGTGCTGGGAGCAGAAGACTAATTGCCTTATTTATTTCTAGCAAAAAAGTAGGGCCATGAAGAATTAAGGCATCGTCCCTATTTCTGTGTGTGATACACTTTTTCAAACTATTGTATAATGTCCAGTCTAGACTGAAAACGGTAGAATAAACCCATATCAGCCTACTTGTAATGATATATTTCAGTACCATTTATTATTAGGATAACTCTTCTATTGTTATTAAATTGGAACCTGGTCATTTATGGTTCCCCAATTTCTAGACACTTTCATAATCTTAATATACCATCCTGAAAAAAAGAATATTAAAACAAATCCTGGCTGCTTTTCAGTCTGTTTAAAAGCTTCAGCCATGCAAAGCGCCATCAGCCTTGACCTTCCTGTCTCCAGAAGGCCCAGCCATATTTAATTGGAATGGGACCCTTCTTCACTTCAGCAAGTCCTAGTTACATCATTGACCATTTTTCAAATTCTGTAATCTTGTTTTTAGTGTCACTTCAGGCTGAATCATTCTTTTCAGAAATGACACCGACTGTGGTATCTCTGTAGCTTTTCTTATTTAGTACAACTCGGCTGTCGCTTTAAGTGAAAAAAATTCTGCTGGAGAATGAAACATTATCTGCTAATGAAGGCTCGTGTCCCGCTGGCCATGAACAAAGGGTGTCTGGTACTTGCCGACGCCATTTAAAAATCATATTATTTTGTAAAGTTAATCGTGGGTTTCCGAATACCCTTTAAAGCACTATTAAGTTCACTTGCTCCTTCTGCAGGATGATGGGGCACAGGGGTGGGAGGGAGACTCTGCGTCCAGCCCTTGTCCTCGAGCCCAAAACATAGGAACTGAGGCAGCGAGGAGCTTCCTGATCAGTGACGCTAAGTGACTGATGGCCTGATCCACAATTTCATCTTTATGCAGTTGTGTTTACATGTGAGAATTCATTTATATTCTTTTTCAAAATAACACTTATATACTTCTAATGCCTAAAATAACATTTATCAGAGTCTCAGTAAGGACATTTTAAAATTAAGAGATCGGTCTGGGATGTGACACTGAACATAAATGAAGATCTACATACAGATGCACCTGCCTGGCTACTGTAATGCAGTGGCAATTCAGACCCAGGTTCACAGGCATTATGGGGGAGGGACCCATGGTCTTTGCACGTGACTTCCACAACCCCATGTCACAGAGCCAGGGAAGCAGAGGTGGCCGAGAGTGTCTGGGGATGCACAGGGTTTGGCTTCACAGTGGGTTTGCTTACATTTAAAATGTCTTTAGAAGCAATGACCTGCTAAAGCAACAGCTGACCTATGGAGAGAACTGTTTTACTTTATTATTTTTTAAAAAAGCATCATAGCTTTATTCTTATTTATGACTACAAATTTAAGTCAAAATCATATTTTGATGAAACTCTTAGTTAGAAATTACTGAGAGGAAAAATACCTTCACTTTTAAAATCAATTAAGAAAAACTTCTTTTTGGTTCTGCAGTGGATCAAACTGGCTCTTAAATTATGATATTAACAAATGAACATCACCTTGTAATACTGAATTCTAGTGGTATTTGGGGTGGTGAGTTACAGAGCCCACACCCAAAAGCCATGGGTAAACTGCCAAGGGCCAATTAAATGAACCTCTCCTCAGTTTACTACAATTTCAGCTGCATCTTTATGGAATGAAGCAAAGCTCAACAGAGAACCCATAAAATGAAATGATGCAGACCAACCTTTTATTGCACCCACAATATTTTGGTCTAGTCCTTTCCGGTTGTCATTGAGTCCTCTTTTCCTCTTCCCATTGGGTAAGGAGTTAGCCAAAGTCTTGTCATCAAAAAATGCACACACCAGTTTTCTAAACAGAAGGCTTCCTGAGCGAGTGTAGTTTGACAATATAGAGTCCAGCTGAGATTTAGGCATAAACACATCAAAGCCTTCAGCAAGTTGCACTTCTGGCTACCAAAAGAACATAAATATTTCATTAAAAGCAAGATTTGAAGCATTTGACTTTGGGCATATGTGCGATTAAAAAACAACCACCACCAAAAAAAAAAAAACAAAAAAAAAAACATGACTAGGAATGTCCACAGCCTGCAAAGCATACAGTCTCAGCTTTGTGTGCCAGCATTTGCCATTTACAAAACCAACTACTAGTTAGAATTCACAAAACAAGATGCTCCCATGCCAATGTTGTCTCGTCAACACCAGTGGAAAGGAGTATACTGAAAAAGCATTCTTGTCCCTGGAAACAGTCAAGAGAAAGCTGGATAATCATAAAATCATATAATTTTCAAACTGGAGGAGACTTTGGGTGAAATACCCTCATTTTTTAAATGAAGGAACTCAGGCCCAAACGACTTAAAAGTAACTTAAATCTAATCAGGACATTACAATGGACAGATCGCTTTCTCCTACATTAAACAATTTCATTTCATTTGCCTAAGGACAAAAATATGGGATTCTCCCACAGGTCTCATGCTCTTTGTACTAGGCCAGTGGTTTTTAGCTGTGGAACTGTATTTTTCTCTCTAATGAAAACTTCTGTAAACTAATACATAAAATAAAAATGACGAGAAGGTGCCCCAGGCAAGTTTAAATCCACCCCGACCCCGACTTTGGGGAGGAATCTGAAGTTATACCCCAGAGCACCCTTGGAAAACCAAGACACTAGTCACAGCCCCTCCCTGTCATGGATTTCGTGACTGGGACGCGGGATCGGACAGACCTGTAAGGTGCCTTTCAGCTTGGACTCCACCGTATGTGCTCATACACTGATGATACACTCTCTGTCATCATGCCGTGGATGTTTACAACTCACCTTTTCATCTTTCCACCCAGCTCACATCATTTTCTTTTCAAAGCCCTTCCTAACTCCTTCCTTCTGAAGCGGGCGGCTGGGTGCTCTTGGTCACCGCTATTTATTTGACAGGCTTATTTGACTGTATTTGTTATAGTGCATTGTCATTATTGGTTAGATTGCAGCCTTTCCTGACGCCTGGAACTCAGACTTTGTATCTCTAGGGCCTGGCACATAGTAGGCACTCAATAAATTCTTGCCGAATACATAAAAGTTCTTAGTCATAATCTAAATCGCCATTTACTGTTGATCATAACATGACTTTAAAATAATAACTTTAATAGGAAGAAATGCAATTTGGTAAACTTTTAATTAGGAAAAAAAGGTCAGAAGAAAACCTATTAAAGCTTATTCTTGGTTATCATATTTATCACTCTGCAAACCTGGGATTACTTTAGATTTTTGAAATCATATGAGAAATATGAGGTCTCGGGATTAGTTTTTCTTCTGAAGAGAATAGGAATTATTATTTTGTTTGTCCTGTTGCTTCTCAGAATGCCTAGCACACTATGCTCAGAGTGAAGTGGCTCGGAGAAGGCCTTAAATTATTCAGATGGTGTGGGGAGGAGTCTGGACACTGTCCCTCCCCGGCGAAATTCTCGACTGGATGGTCCAGAAAGTCATCTCATTTCTCTGCTTCACTGTGCCATTCAGGTTGTGGTCTTTGAATGCTTGGTAAATATCACTATGAAAACAATGCTGCCAGATCGTCCCTGGCTTTTGCATCTCGCTGCTGGTAAAGGTCGGCAGAGGAGGCTGGTGCAAGCCAGGGGCTGTCCCCACAGCTCTCAGAACAGAAGCTGGCACATTTGCTGAATGAGTCAACGCAGAAATATTAGGATTGAAAGGATTTTACCATCATAATCTAAGATGAAGTTTTTTATTCATTACCAGATTTTATTTTGCACATCTTATATCTGCATTTAGACCTTTTCTTCTAAATGAACTGATCACAGATTTTTGCTAAGTGCTTCTGTATTACGTGAAAGCCATGAAAAAGAGTCGCTGTCTACGGAAGCAGCTACTCACAGCTACTTACAGCTACTTGGGAGTCTAGGGAGGTAGAGAAGCTTTTTAAATGTGCAAGAGAGGAAAGGGAAAGACACCGGCCTGTCTCATTCACATGTCTCTGCTGGGTTCTGACATCATCACACAGGTGCTCAACGCTCGGCCACCTGACCAGAGACTCCCAGAACCTCCCCTCGGACTCGTCTCATAGGACCTGGGCCCCTGACCTGAATTAGCCACCAGGAAAAACTAGCCACGCCTTCCTCACACACTCATAGTATTTTATGTGAGCTACATTTATGGCCCTTTTCACACTGTATTTGTTCAGTCAGTTGGTTGTATTTCTCGTCAGCATGTGCACTACTTTGTATTCAGGGTGCCAAATGCCCAGTTAGTGCCCAATAGATATTTGTCAGAATATACAAAACGTGATGTAGGAACTCATTCGAGATGACTAGTATTGATTTAGAGATCTTTTGTCCCTGTGTAAATGAGGGAGTGGGTTTGAAAGTCTGCGTGCAGTGGTTCAGTACCCCAGTCCTGTAACAGGACCTGTGCTGACTCAAGGAGCTGAGTTCCCAAAGGACAGGGACCTGCAAAGCGTATTTATTAAGCACCCTCTGTGCGTAAGGAGTTTAAAGTCAGGCTCAGTAGATGGAACATGTACATAAACACCAACCACACAAAGCGGAAGTGATAAATGCTACGGCAGAGGTGCAGAGCCGTAGGCTGCATGTGGTTGGTGAGGGGCGAAGGTCCAGGAGGGGTAGGGCAGCATTTCATCAGGGCCCCGAGGTAGGATCTAAGAGACAGAGATGCAGTTGCTGTTTCCGACATCTGCTGTGACTCCTAAAACGAAATATCCAGAGGTTTCTGGGGTTTCTGTGGAGCTGAGACTCACTGTGGAATTGTAATAGAATCTCGACTCCTGAGATGCTATCCTGAAGCAGAAGCTGTCGGTGCTTCCTGCTCCACTTTCTAGTGCCAGAAAAACATTATTTTGAAGCATTCTTTCTGGATCATGGAACACAGACTGGCCGGGTTATACACCCCTTACAAGGGAGTCAGTTTCATCAGTCGAGGCAGCAGCCAGCAGTGGCAAGAGCAAAGGTGACTAATCTCTGTCCCCCTCCCGCTCTTCAGGTCCTCTTAGGCAGGTTTCTTAGCTATAGTGGACGGGCACTAACGTTATGTCTACAAGGTGCCATAAAGCAAACCAGTTCCTTACAAAAAAGAGAGGGCAGCTTTACTTTCTGAGATATAAAGAAAACATAACAGGTTAATCTCAAATTTTCATTAGGAAATCTTTTTACTTACTCCATTTTATAAATATAACCACGTGGATTATCACCATGTAACGATCTACAACCTTGTACATATATTTAAAAACAGGTTAAACCTCTTTAATTGTATCACCGAGTCTCTTTTTGTTTACTGTCTCTATGTTTGAATGAGATCTCTCTCCTTCCTGACAATGGCTCGGACAGAAACCACCTCTATTCCAAATGAATAGCATTTTAAAAACTCGATTGCCTTTGACAGTCACTATTTGATACTTGCGCGAAAACAGATAGCTAGTGCGCTAATTACAGATTTTATTGATTACTGAAGTAATAATATAGTCAATAAATTCCATCAGATACTGAGGATCTTTAAATGATGACGTCTAAAGTATGGGGCAGAATGTACAACACTTACAGTCATTGTAAGAGCTACGAGCCTGAATTCCCTCTATGAATTTGGACTTTCACGAGTGCCTTGCCTATTTTAGGCTGCACGTGCTGCATCCTCCTCATGCAGGGCTTCTCACCTCACGCTGGGTGGAGTTAAGGCGGAGCCTGCACGTGGTCGCTGGGCCCTGGCCTGTCTCCCTTCCTACGGTGTGGGCTCCCTTTGCTCAGTAGTACAGCTGGCCCTGGAACAGTGGGGTCTGAACCGTGTGGCTCCACTTACAAGTGGGTTTTTCCAGTAAACACCTGTGCTGGTCTCAGATCTTGGCCAGGAGTCCGCGGGTGCAGGGGGCTGACTGTGCGCACAGGTCTACGCCATTTCAAACAGGGGACTTGCGCACCGGCGGATTTTTGTATCCATAGGGGGTCCTGGGACCAATACCTGGCAGACGCTGAGGGATATCAGTAGTTAAGTTTTGGGGAATCATAAATTGTACACGGACTTTCAACTGCACAGAGGTCAGTGACTCCCACCTGCTGCGTTGTTCGTAGGTCAACTGTAGTTGGGGTCAAGACCGAGCTTCAGGGGGCAGTCCCCTAACCTGGTAGATTAGAAGATTTTCTCTCTTAAGTTCCTATGAACATATTATGTGACTCCCCTGTATAATCTAAAGGAAAATATGCAAAACAGTTTGAAAGAGATCATACAACTTAATCACAGAGGGGACATTTCTGATACAGGCTATTTTACTTAAGGTACTGTCGATACTGAGTTTTAGTAAGACATGTGGTCCTACATAGGTTAAAAGAGTGAAAAGTGCACGGATATCCATACGGGACGCTAGCTCCAGATCTGCAATTGTAAATTAATAAATTATACAACAGAGTCTGTATACTTGACTGGCTAGCTAGTCAAGTTTCAGACTGGTTTAAGATTGAAAGCTATAAGAAAACTGCAGATAAAGAGGCAGGATTTTGTTGAATAAGACTAACCGATTTTGGAACAAAAACATATAACAGAATTTATGAGAATGTCAAAAGGCTGTGAATTTAGTACTTCTGTTCACAATATACAATGACCTCTATTCTCATTTAGTACTTATTTAGCAGTATATTAGATATGTTTTAGGAAAATGAAATTTAGTTTTTAAGAGAATTTTAAAAACACAAAACCCCCTCATAACTGATTTTATTTTGCTCACAAATGTGATCTGCTTCTGTCTGGGAAAGACAAATTGTTTCCTATAACTCAGGTCCACTCCAGGTGAACTGAGCAAGAACTGCTGTGACCATGTATTAAATGTTATTCCAAGATCATGGCCAATGGGCGGGGTGCCCTCGAGAACATACTAGGTTGGGAGGCAGGCTTGCTCTAGTGGGTCCAGTCCCCACAGCTGTTAACAGCTCAAAACAGGTGTGAC